GCTGCTACTACTACTACTACTACTACCACTACTACTGCTACTACTACCACCACTACTACTACTGCTACTACTACGACTACCACCACTACTACCACTACTACTACCACCACTACTACCACCACTACTACTACTACTGCTACTACTACTACTACTACTACTACCACTACTACTACCACTACTACTACACCACTACTACCACTACTACCACCACCACTACTACTACTACTACTACTGCTACTACTACTGCTACTTGTCCAACTAGTACTACTACTAGTACTGGTCGTGGTTGCTGTCTTCTTTCGCAAGCTGCATTTAGCTTAGAAGCCGCTCATGACGGAAATCAAGACGAGAGCTCCTCACACCCAAAAGGGGCCTGATGCATCGTGGTATGACTCCGGATTCTGGTGCACGATGATGGATGCACGACATCTTGTCCGAAATAAAGTCTCCCGCTGGATCCTGAGCTGTTGAGGGGTTCGCAAGACCACATGTTTATGCAAAGCACCCTGCAAACAAATCCGAGTGGGAGCCACACCTGATCATTATGTAAGACTTGCGCTTAAGCATCACGGCGAGACCGACCACTGCATCAACAAGTAATCCACACCTGCTACCTGCTGTGGCAACATATGCGCTGTGGGATCCATGGGCTCCTCGCCTTTACCAGAACCAGCTGGCACATGTTTCCACTCACTCAGAGTCGGCAACATGGCACCAAAACCAAGGGCTATTCGCGGAGCCAGCGAAACCAAAGCTGGGAGCCATCCTCGACCATCCGAACACCGCCAATGACTCAGATGTCAGCTCTACCATGCTGCTATCAAAACGCCATGAACATTTGCAAGGTGCCGGCCAGAGTGGCTGCTAGTCTTAAGCTTTACTCCTTCCAAGCCCTTCAAAACCGAGACTGTTGTGCACTTTGTCATGTGCGACATTTTTCGCAAGTCCGAGCATCTGTTGAGCTCGCCACTGTACTGCCTTTCTTCGGCTAGTCCGTGTGGCATGAAGCCTTAGGTTTTCAAGGAATCCGTGCTAAAGCCCATAGCCTGTGACGGAAAGAGCGGTGTGCATCTAGGCGTTCGACTTACAGGGTTATTAGAGAACAAGATCCGGAGTCCGTGTTAAGTACGTACTTCTATCACCCAACCTCATCCGACCTTGACCTCAGAAGTCTGACCTCAGAACCTAAGCACACGGCAGCCATCAGAACATGCAACATCTTAGATCCCAACCTAAAGACATAAACTCGCCTATGATGCATGTGGTAATGCATTGCTGCAGGCCGCTTCTACGCATTAGCACGGCGACTACTTCTTGACAATGCTCCTTGACAGTATCAACCGCCGTCCACACACATACGAGCAAGTACTCCTTTCAAGCTCACCACTCAGTGTACGGTAATACATGGCGACATCTGAGGTTTGCGGGTGTAGTTACTGGAATGGACACTTAGAAGAATTCGGAGCGTGTCGCAAATGCAGGCTGCTTGAAAGCTTGCGGCTTCAAGGGTTTAGGTACTGTGCCCAAGTGTTCGGTCTGACAAACGGAGAGCTTCAGCGAGGTAGCAGAATCCCAAGAAGTCCAGAATTGAAAGCTGACCCACGAAATGTCTCAACAATCCTAAACCCCGAACCGCAAAAATCCATGCCAGGCTGGAACATCCATGCCCGAGCGAACTGTCAAGCTGTGGAAACTGCGCAAACAATGAGAAGTTCACCGAAGGACCAAGTTTTTCTAAAACCGGAAAGGCCCCTCAAACTCCAACCTAAAGCCCCAGGCATCGGAAAACGCTCGATCAACATCCTTTGGGGATTTGAGCACGTGACCACCCTCAAACCATAAACCCTGAAAGCCACAGTCCCGACAACGATGTAACAAATTCCTTACTGGACATCGAAGAAACCCTAAACCACCTAAACCTTATAAGCCGAAAAGCCGGCAGTCCCAGCGGTGCTTCGCTAGCTCCCCGAGCTCCTCTACTCGCCCTCGCGCCGAGTCTAGTTTCTTCTAGTAGCAGCTTTAATGCTTAATCTAAAGGTTTCTATAAAGGGCCACTAAAAACAGGGTTCTGGAGCACATCAAGCTATGGTTGCATGAATGAGGGAACCGTTGGGAATACCACCACTAATCAGTTATGGTATACGGTTCAGGGTTCAGAGTTCGTGACCATGGTGACGGCGACTAGCCAGCTGCAACAATGGTAAGAGCACTAGCGATGAGCATCTGTGCGGAAAGAGAACAAGCAACCATGCTCCTGCTTTAGACAGTGCGTAGTCAAGAGCACATCAATGACAGCTAGCACTGGCAACAATGCTACCATGATAATGTAACCTCCCAAGGACGGGCTGTTGCAGGCCTTGGCCCGTGGATCCCTCTCTCTCTCTCTCTCTCTCTCTCTCTCGCTCGATGGCGAACTCAATCACCTGTCAGCCGCTGTCACTCACTAGGCCGTAAATCTTTCACGGTGAAAACCTTCAGGAGCTGAAGGCACTCTCGGGAAGCCCTCCTGATTTGCCGGGATGCCAGTACTGAGGGGTTGGAGTTTGGCCGCTGGTGGGGTAACTGTAAAGCGCTCCGTCTGATGAGTGTTGGAATATTCGCTTCGAGGCCTTGCCCGGGGCGGGAGGGACGGAGACTTGTGTGAATGCAGAACCGGTGTGCTTTAAAATCGGGTTGGTAGTGTCAAAAACATGACTCCGCAAATGTAGCACTGCATTGGGATTGCTTTTGGTTCGCTAGCAACCCGGGCTACAGGGCATACAGCGATCGGGAGGGTGTTGTATTTCTTCCTTCCATACCCTATATAACTCAAAGCCGAACCGCCAATCCTGTAAGTAACAGCCCTACACCCTGAACTTGCTAGATGTCCTCAACCTGAAGGCCCAAAACCAGAACTGAAGCCGGAGCTTTGAGCACTGGGTCAGTTTGCGGCGAGGTTCCGGCTTCGGTGGTCCGATCCGGCAAGATTCAAGACCAAGTCCCGCCACGGCACGGTTTAAGGTTATTTTTTCTTGGGGTTCAGCGTGTCTTGAGGGTTACGGGGTCATAGACAGGAAGCACGGTGCCTTCGGAAGATCAAGCGACCAATGCATGCGTTTACTTCCTGTGTAAAATCATGAGCGGGAAACAACAGAACAAGCGGACATCTTCGCAGTAGTCGAGTTATACGTATGTACGTATGCATGTATGTGAAAAAGCATGTGACTATGTATGCATGTGCATGTCCGTGCACCTGCCCATGCCCTTGCATCCCATGTAGGCATGTATTATACAGGCCTGCTAGAGAAGCTCCAAAGCTCCGAACAACGAAGCTGCCTAATTGCCAGTATGCATGGACCCTAAATCCAATCTACCGAAGGGCCTTTTGAGCCACGTGCCTTTCAGCCTTTCAGACAGGAATTCAGAACCAGGGGACTTGGCCATGCAACTGTGGAGATTACTGACCCACCTGGCAGATACGGTAATGCTTGCCGGCAGAAACGAGCGGTTTTGCTCTAAATTTGCTTGTTTGTCACTTGACTCAGTCAGTCCTTCTCAAAACCTTCAGGATTTAGCTAACAGCTGCCAGGTGAGGATTTCGAGCGCGACAGTCGAGGCAGATGCTGAAAGACGCGGTGAGGTATTAACCTCAGCGGTTTCAATGCGATATCAACCCTCAATCCAACAACCTAAACGTTGCTGCTTCGCCACTAATCCCAGCATCCCAGGAGGCGGTTGGGAAGTCTTCTCAATCAAGACCACGAGTACCAGAATGGAATGGTCACTGGAGGTTCTTTCACACGGATGCTTTTGGGCTGATGCGGGCCCTGACTGTTGACCAAATCCCAAACTGCCTCGGAGATGGATGCTGAGAGGGGCGTAAGGTGCTCAAGCACACAGGGCCGAGCCATGGCAACGAAAGCTGCAAGGCGAGAAGCTTCGCAGGCCCAACTTAAACCCCTACCATCTCCACTGGTCAGCCTGTCAACCGTGAACCAGAATCCCATATTTAGACTTTAGAAAACCCACGTCGGCGGGCCGCCTCAGCCTCGGGAACGGGAACGTGAGGCACGGCGTCTGTTCTCGGGCTTCTCGGGTTCTCTGCGGCCTGGACCAGAGCTCTGCATAAGCCAGCCAGGAGCAGGAGGCATTTTGCCATTCTCCTCCAAACCCTCCAGCATGCGAACCAGAAGCCCCGATGGGTGTTTGGCATTGCCGATGCGCTCGTCCATGTCTTTCAAGTCCTGGCTCTTGTGATGCTTCCGCTTCTTCATGGTCTTGATCAGACGATGTAGGAGCTGATCGTCTAGGTTGTATTTCCAGGCGAAATCCTTAATCTCCGGATCCAGCAGGTCTTTGCCGATGAAGGTGCCGTTGTTGATCTCACGGATCTTCACAAGCATAACGTCTACGGCTTTCTTGTTGTTCTGGGCACCCTTCTCCATGATGTGCCACAGCACCTGCATATCCTCGTCAAAGTCTTCACGCGTCTTCATGGCTTTGTTCAGCTTCTCGCATATTTTGTCGTCAATACCGAAATTTCGACAAATGTCCTTCACCCGCGGATCGATGGGGTCCGGTGGTGGCGCTCGCGGCTCCACGGCCACGGTTTCCTCCTCCTGCGGTCCCATCATTTTCATCATGGCGGCCATGTTCATCATAGCCATAGGGTTCATCGCCATCATTGGCATGCCCATGCCATTCATTCCCATGCTGCTACATCCACCCATACCACCCATCATCGGCATACCCATAGGCATTCCCATGCCTGCCACGCCGTTCATGGTCATGTTGTTCATGCCCATGGGCATGCCCATCATTGGCATTCCTGGGCCCGCAGGAGTGCCAGGAGCACCTGGACCCCCGCCGGGCATGCCACCGGGCATGCCTGGCATGCATCCGGGCATGCTACTTGGAGCGCCTCCGGGTATTGAGGCACTTCCGTCTCCTGGCAACATGGCACCTCGAGTTTCGAGCGCGAGCAGTTCTTTCGACGTGTTGGTCTGCTTCGGGCAAGATTACTTGATGATGCCTGCACCCTGCTGTACCTTGCAACTGCTTGTACATTGTGCTTTGGCTACAGTGCCGACATGGCGTTCTGCACGTGAGCTGGGAAATTGTGGCGACAAGAAGACAGTAGGCAACAAGGCCATCCAAGGTCTGCTTTTCTTAACCTCGCCGTCTTCCGAAATGCCTAAGCCTGACACGCAGTCGGGCATTTCCTCACAGGAGAAAAGCTCGCAAAACTTCCCGAGAAGGGTTCCTACAGTCGAGATGACTTCCAGAGCCTTCAGAGCCTTGGCAATCCTGAGTGTACGGTTTCGGGCAACATGAAACACAGAGCTTCGTGTTTGTGTATTTGTGTGTGTGCGTGTGTGTGACGAGTGTACTGGCGCGGCTTGCGTCAAGACTTCTGGACAGAACAATCAAAGTGTTCGGGTTCTGCAGGCAAAGCCTGAAACTACCAAATCAAGTCTCTGCCTTGCTAGGTGTGGTGGTCTGGACTCTCTCCTATAAGAGCGGCTGTAAATGCCAACAACGTAAACTCTTTGTGGCTGAACTTCTTGTGTTTGAAGTCTAGAAGTCTGCCCCGCAGTCAAATCTCCTACCCCAAACACCCGTACTCTTTGAAGCTAAACCCGAAACCAACAATGCCCCGTTTGCCCGCGCCTCTCAGCTCGGCTCGAATATCGTCCCCGCGAACGATCGTGCGATCGACGCCCAGGACGTCTTGGATAAAGGCGGCCTCCGCTCGATGCTCTTTCCCGGCGACTACCAAGGCCCAAACAGGAACTTCACAATGGAACCTTCACAAAGGACCGTACGGTCATAAAAAAACTTGACGTTGTGGAGCATGAATCCTCGTCCAATGCTTTTCGAAGCCGCAGATCAGGAGACCCGCAGACACCAGAACTAGAGATCAACCCCTCGAGAACACGAACACCCGGTCGTTCCCAATGCTCCCATCCCTGTCCCTACTGCAAACCGCTCGAACCTCGCGGAGACCCGCATGCCAACCTGCCCCTAAACATTTACACCACCCGCAAATCCATGGATGCCACGCTCCATTGTCCATACTACACTGCGAATCTTTTAACAAGCGAACTGGAGTTGTCCCAGCGGAGGGCTATACCACGGCAGCTGACAAAGCTACGCTGTTGCCCAGTACAGACCTCTGCCGCCGTACTGCCGGCCCGTGGCCGTTGCTTTGAAGCCTGTTGCCACGTGCTCTTTGGGGTGCAGGATGTACAGTCAGGAGCTTTGAGCTTAGCTGACGACTGACTACCAACTACGACGAGGCTACAAGTTACTACTACAATCTATACTGCTACGACTACCACTACCACTACCAGCACCACTTCCACTGCCACTGCCACTACCAC